TCTCTCTCTCTCTCTCTCTCTCTCTCTCTCTCTCTCTCTCTCTCTCTCTTCATGACATGTCTAGTCCCAGGGGCTAGGAGTTCACTACACAGATATTAACTAACCTGTATTGGACTGTTGGGAGGGAGAAAATCTGCAGGTAGGATGGATGATTCTGTGTATTGCCCTTGAATGTTCTTGTCACAGATACAGTTAAGGAACTACCATTGGTTTTAGGGATTTGGATTTTTTTTGTTTGGTTTAGAATCATCTGACAGTTTGGAAAATATAACATCCAGTTTTTTTCCATGTGTTGATGTAATCACATGACATGATGTGAACTGAGAAAGAATACTTGGTTTGCATCTGGATTCCAGTTTTTTAAGGATGGGCTTTGCTTGATTAGAGCCTCTTTGCCATTGAAATATGTGATGAAATTAGAGAAAACAAAATCTCCACTGGAGGAATAACCTGTGGTGTACCAGAAACGTGAATATGTGAGTGTATTTTCCAGTGCTTCTAATGATAAATATCTGTGTTTTGCTGTCTAAGTATGCGTAGTTTACTTGTTTTCAACTTAAGTGTAAACTTCAGTATGCTGTTAATTATTAGATGCTTCGTTTTGAAAATGTGAATTTGGGTTTGAATGTTGTTTAGTTTTGATACTATATGTATAACATCACAGATTTCATAGAATAAGAAAGTTTAAAGGACTACTGAATTTATGGGATTCTATTCCTTCATTTTTAGTTGAGGTTGCAGACTCTACAAAGTAACTGGTTTGGTCAAGATTCCCTAGCCAACTCATATCAATACATATTGTACAGCCCCAAACCCTCATGAGACTGGTTTTAATATACTGCTTGGCACTATTAAAGTCTAGGAAATTGTATTAGCTGTATTATAAATGCAAGAACCTTTGCAGATTCATATTCCCATATGTCTGTCAGGTTTTTATAAGTTTTTTGATTTTAATTCCAGAGCAGTTACACCTGGGAAGAATTATTTTAGAATGAGTGGGGAGAAAAGGGCATTAAGGAGAGAAAAATGGCCTTGTCATAGGAGCTTGCCCATATTTTCCCTTATAAATGATATAGTAGACAGGTAAATAAGTGATTATAAAGATTATGATTCTTAGAATTTCCCATTGCCCCTTGTTTTCTGTCTCCTTTTATCTTTTTATACTTAACTTATTTAGTTTATTTGTCTTTTAAAGTATGCCCAATATCTATCTTGATTCCCAGTAGCTCTTTTTAAAATATATATATAGTCTGGGAGATATTAATATATTTCATTTATAAAATTCCAAGATACTAAAATCTGTCACTTTCATGACTTAATGCTTAAAGCACTCTCCAGTTACCTTTATGAAATAATTTGGAGTAAAGAATTAAAGTTCATATTTTAAAAATAATAGTATTTGGAAGAGGAACAAGTTGATATTGTGTAGACTCAGGGCTACATGGGCTGTCTGTGCTGGGGAGGAGCTAACATCCTTTTTAGACTCAGATTTATTCCCATAACAGTACACACAATAGTTTTAGGATGATTTTGGAGAAGTTTGTAAACCCCTGGAAGATATTAGCACAGTAAAAAAAAAAAAAAAATTGTCAAACTTGTTAAGACTATTGTTCTTACATAATTTTTAATACTGAAATATTTCATGGTCAAAGGGAGCTGTTGTAGGTCCTCCTATTTTAAATCCTCACTTGTGGATATTTTAACCACTGCATTCAGCCTATGTTTTTAAATGTGACACACACTGTGCTAGACATTAGCAAATCAAATAGGAATAAGCCAGGTTCTCAGCCTTCAGAGGCTTGAGTGGGAGTGAGAGTTTTTTTAATAACCTTAAGTTTATGATGTAGTCCTGGCATATGTATTCTGGAAATGTTCTGGCTTTTCTAATTTTTCATACCCCCCTCCACCCCACCTTTATAGATCAGTTAATTGCGCTTTTGAGTTTGGTTGTGATTTCAGAGTCCTGCAGTGTTTGAGGCTCAAATTCTTCTTTGACTTGAGCTCTCACATGAATCCCTTCAATGTCTAGAAAGTTTAAGGTTCTTTGTGTGGCTTTTATGTGTTTAGGTGTCTGCTACAGGTGTTTTTTAACCAACTGTCCTCAGCTTCCAAGTCTCTGCTGATGTACTGATAGTGTAACATCTTGAGACTTAAGTCACCAAGGGACATGTCCTAATGCCCTGGGTATTGACTTCATGTTTTCTTTTGAAGGTACAAAATATATTTCTCAAGAAAACCCCCAAGAAAGGTGAGAATTAATAGCAATTTATTGACATGTATTCTTCTATTCAGCAAATAAGTGCTTATTGTGTATCTGAGTTTATGTTAATAGGGACTTACTTACAAAGATAAGAGGTGGACCCTGCCTTGGAATTACTTAAAACCAATTCTAGGTGGGTACATCTGATATTAAAACAATTACAGTAGAATGAAGTAAGTGTTATTAATAATATGTCAGCGCATTATAAGTATAGAAGGAGCTGTTTAGTAGGTCAAAGGAGAATTGAACTAGGCATTGAAGGGTGAGTAGCATTTTATCACCTAGACAGTGGAAGAAGAAGATTCCAAGCAGCATCTGAAATGAACAGTCATAATAGTCCTGATGAGGTAGCTTTGTTACCTTCTCTCTGCAGACAACAACAGTAAGGTTCAGAGAGATTAATTGCCCAAATTCACATGGTTGATAAATGGTAGAGGTGGGTTTATTTCATGTTTGTCTTACTGGAAATCCCTGGGCTTCTATAAAATGTGACCTCATTGAAAGCAAAGGAATGTAAAAGTGCTTGGTGTTTACATGGGTCTTGGGAAATTCAGTTTTGTTCCTTTTAGTCTAGTGGCAGTGGTAGCTGAGACTAGAAGGGCTTAGATTATTGAGGCTCTACATTTTAGGGCCTTGTGTTCTCACTAGTAAGTTGCATTAGCTGTGGTAAGGGGACATAGTTGTGGGCCTTGAGCAAAAGCAAGAACACTCAGATTGACAGGTATAAATGTAACTCTAAAGACATTATGAAGAAGAGACTTGGAGAATTCCAGACTGAGAAGCAAGGGTGCATATTATAAAGCTGCTTTAATTGTCCCAGTGAAAGGCAGTGGGTATGTAAGATGCTTATGGAAAAGGTATGCAAAGATAAACATGACTGGGCCTCATGGTGGTTTGCGAAGATGGAGGGGGATGCCAAGAGGGTGTTCCAGGTGTGCCATTTCCAGGGCAGGAAATGAGTGACTGTGGAGGTTAAGACTTTTGTTTGTCAAAAATTGAGAATTATGAAAGGATAAAACCATTTTGGTAGAAAAATCACAAGTTGGGTTTGATGTGCCTCTGGATGAGAGAGCTAGCAGTTTGATGTGGGTCTTTAGCTCTGGAGACATGTATTCTGCAGGTCTGAACTAGGGCAGATAGGGCAAACATCAGCCCAGGAGTGATGCTGAAGCCTGACTGGTCAGGATGAACCAGGGAATTGTGGGAGTGAGCAACCAAGAGAACTGAGCCTTGAGCTCTGAAGAACCCTGGAACCAACCTAAGGACAGGCAAACTGACAGTTGATGCTGCCAAAGGAATCCAAGAGAAAGCAGTTGGAGAGGTACAAGATGGTCTAGTTCATGGGGAAACTGTCTAGTTGACTAAAATGTTTGTGATCAATTTTTGAAATATTCCAAACATAAAAATTGCTATAGCAAAAATTAAAGTGAATTTCTGATGTTAAAAAAAAATGATGGCTATTATTTTAGAAATCCTTAAACCTTCAAGGTTGATGTAGCTTTAAGTTTAATGAAGCATTTCTTATAGCATGTATATAAGTAAGGCATACTTTCATCCTGCCCTTAAGAGAACAGTTGTGTAGGAGGGATATGTTTTGAATTCCAGGTGTTTTACTGCTAGTGATTGACAGACCGTAGTGGAGAAGAAGGGATGCAGAGAAACAGGTTTGGGAAGAAAAGCAGTGAAGACTGTATTAATTTTATATATGCCTAAGGCTTTCCTAATGCATTTTTATGGACTGTCCTGCTTTTGGTGTAGAATGAAGATAAACTAACCTGTCCAGCTACCCTAATATAATACAAGGTCACCTAGCATGGAGTATCAGTATCATATCTGAGTTTAATAAAAAAGATCAACTATAAATCTTAGGAAAATCTCTCTGAGAAATAAGATCCCTGAATCTATAAAGTCAGACAGGTCCAAGTACTGCCTTCTACTTTGCTTTAGAAGCAAGCTGAGAGAAACCTCAGTTTGCAGATAATCATAACACATGGTATGTCTGTCAGCTTAAGAAAAAGGGAAGGGCTTGATCTTCCAGTAGGAAAGATTTAAAATTTCATTTTATGATTCTGGTATCCCAGACCATTTCTTGAATTCTTATGTTACAGCTACAGAGCACTTTTTTTTTTTTTCCCTAGTAGTAAAAAAAGCCCCAAAGGTAGACTTTAACAGGGGATAATAGAAAAAAATACTGATGACAAAGGCCTTCAGCTAGTTTATTGTAAGCTCTTAAAGGGCATCCCACCCTCCCAGTTTTGTGGCTAGACCTCTGGCAATACCAGGTGAATGAATGAGGTGAATTGTGAGTGATAAGTTAGTCTTTGAGATTTCGTATACAAATCACTAGCAGGCTGCTTTGAAGGAAATCAGGCATGTTCTCAGAATGCCTAGCCTCTTGGTTTCCCAGACCAGTTTTGTTTAGACAAGACAGTTCAGGGATGCACCTATGCCTGAAATAGCAATTGCTTCTTTGTATTCCCTGTTAGAAAGCTAAGTGTCCCAGCAGCCCATAGAAATACATGTCTTCTGAGGGCAGAGCCATTGACCAAAGCAAGGCTCCAGACATTGTGGTGGTTGCTTGGTTTGTTGAGCTGAATGGCCTTAAATGGTCATTACAGTCAGTAAAGCCCAGAAACTTTTAAAAATAGATCAGAGGCTTACAAGATAACTGTGGTGCATATCTTTGTGAGGATCTTTCAAACAGAGTTTTGCTTTGTCACTGAATCATATATATGTTCCTAGATTTCCAAGGAGAAGGGAACACTGATAATTAAGCAGTTTGGGACTAGATCTAGATATTGGAGAAATATAACTCTTGTCCTCATGTTATAAAGAAACTGCTGTGTAAGGTATGGAAGATGCTGTGATCCCAGGGTTGGGAGCCAGTGTAAATTCTGATGTGCTAACGCTTTTCCAGTGTCCACTGTCATTTTTATGTTAAGTATGAATTGAGTGGAACACCTTTGATGGGCCAGACCTGGTACTAAATGTTAGGGGATAACAGAAAAAGATGCACAAGAAAGATTGGTCTCTGCCTCACAGAAGAACTTACTATAAGGACTGTAGCTTTGCAGAGCAACCTGCTTACCTGTTAGATTTCACAGTTGTGAGGTCCCTCTTTCCTGTGTTTTCTAGCCTTACTCAGTCACCTGATCTCTTTTTCTTTTATTGTATCAGAGCCTGTTAGCATCATCTCCATTCTCTGTCAGCGTGTTCATGGGGTCTCTCCATTTAGTAAAACTAATTCTGGCTATGGATTCAAACCAAAGTGGATTTTTGTAAAGTTGGGGGATGGTGACTGACTTATAAAATCTCACATTTGAACAGGCAGAGCTCTTGCATTCTATTTATGTTTCCTGTCTCAATTCCAGATTGGTGGCAGTAAGCACACAATGAATGATCACCTGCATGTTAGCAGCCACAGCCACGGACAGATTCAGGTTCAGCAGCTGTTTGAGGATAACAGTAACAAGCGGACAGTGCTCACAACACAACCAAATGGGCTAACAACAATGGGCAAAACGGGCTTGCCAGTGGTGCCCGAGCGGCAGCTGGAGAGCATTCACAGACGGCAGGGGAGCTCCACCTCTCTGAAGTCTATGGAAGGCATGGGGAAGGTAAAAGCCACGCCCATGACTCCTGAACAAGCAATGAAGCAATACATGCAAAAATTAACAGCCTTTGAACACCATGAGATTTTTAGCTACCCTGAAATATACTTCTTGGGTCCAAATGCAAAGAAGCGCCAGGGTATGACAGGTGGACCCAACAATGGTGGCTATGATGATGACCAGGGATCATATGTGCAGGTGCCCCACGATCATGTGGCTTACAGGTACGAGGTCCTCAAGGTCATTGGAAAGGGGAGCTTTGGTCAAGTGGTCAAGGCCTATGATCACAAAGTCCACCAGCATGTGGCCCTGAAGATGGTGCGGAATGAGAAGCGCTTTCACCGACAGGCCGCAGAGGAGATTCGAATCCTGGAACACCTGCGGAAACAGGACAAGGATAATACCATGAACGTCATACACATGTTGGAGAATTTTACCTTTCGCAACCACATCTGCATGACATTTGAACTGCTGAGTATGAACCTCTATGAGCTCATCAAGAAGAATAAATTCCAGGGCTTTAGCCTGCCTTTGGTCCGCAAATTTGCTCACTCGATTCTGCAGTGCTTGGATGCTTTGCACAAAAACAGAATAATTCACTGTGACCTTAAGCCCGAGAATATTTTGTTAAAGCAGCAGGGTAGAAGCAGTATTAAAGTGATTGATTTCGGCTCCAGTTGTTATGAGCATCAGCGTGTCTACACGTATATCCAGTCACGTTTTTACCGGGCTCCAGAAGTGATACTTGGGGCCAGGTATGGCATGCCCATTGATATGTGGAGCCTGGGCTGCATTTTAGCAGAGCTCCTGACAGGTTACCCCCTCCTGCCTGGGGAGGATGAAGGGGACCAGCTGGCCTGTATGATTGAACTGTTGGGCATGCCTTCCCAGAAACTGTTGGATGCATCCAAACGAGCCAAAAATTTTGTGAGCTCCAAGGGTTATCCCCGTTACTGCACTGTCACGACTCTTTCAGATGGTTCTGTGGTCCTCAATGGAGGCCGTTCCCGGAGAGGGAAACTGAGGGGCCCACCGGAGAGCCGAGAGTGGGGAAATGCACTGAAGGGATGTGATGATCCCCTTTTCCTTGACTTCTTAAAACAGTGTTTAGAATGGGATCCTGCAGTTCGCATGACCCCAGGCCAGGCTTTACGGCACCCCTGGCTAAGGAGGCGGTTGCCAAAGCCTCCCACTGGGGAGAAGACTTCAGTGAAAAGGATAAGCGAGAGCACTGGTGCTATCACGTCCATTTCCAAGTTACCTCCACCTTCCAGCTCAGCTTCTAAACTGAGGACTAATTTGGCACAAATGACAGATGCCAATGGGAATATTCAGCAGAGGACAGTGTTGCCAAAACTCGTTAGCTGAGCTCAAGTCCCCTGATGCTGGTAATCTGAAAGATACGACATAGCTGAGCCTTATTGGGTTGAAAAGGAGTAGCTCAGACCTGTTTTTATTTGCTCAATAACTCGACTCATTTGTATCTTTTCAGCACTTAATTTTAATGTAAGAAAGTTGTTTGTTTTGTTTTTATAAAATACATGGGGACAATGCTTTAAGTTTTTATACTTTCTGAAACTTTTTGTTTTCTACAAGTACGATGAGCCTTACTGTATTTAGTGTGGCGGAGTAATAACATCAGTGGCAGGCCATTGATTACTTCATGACTGCCACGCATTTACAGATTGGTCAAAGACATTCACTACGTTTTTATGGTTCATATTCTCCCCTTCTCTCTCCACACTCCAGGTTCATGCACAGGTGTAGCATGTCCTGCTTCTTTTTTCCATAAATAAATCTGGGTGGTAGTGGTGGTGGGAGGACAATGGTCAGGATGAAAATGATATTCTAAGAAAAACTGCACCTTAGAGATTTTTGTTCCTGAAGTAATGATCAAACAAATACAAAATAAGATCCCCAAGTTTTAAATTGCCCAGTTAGCATTCTGACATTTTAAAAGCTGGCAAGGCAGCATTTTGGTGGCTAAGTGGAAACGGAAATGTGTGTGTTCCTCCAAATTTTCTACTCTGATCGGCAAGCTGTTTTGTCAGGAAGCTTCCTATTACAAGATTGGTTATGCACCTAATTTTAGAAATGTATTCCATGACTGTTCCTCACTTCTCTGCTCTTCTCTCTGTTCCTCTTTCACCACACATCTGTTATCTGCATTTAGTTTGTCTTCTTTCTTCAGCTGTACATCCCAGACTGTTAATTCAGAAAGAGACATCTCAGCTGTGTGATTGTGACCACCACTTCATATTCCAATTTTAAAAAGAACAGCAGTCCAGCTACTGAAGGTGGGGATTTCCATAGTTCCAAAGAAGATTTAGCAGGTTGGAGTGAGTTCACACGTTTCAGGTGCCACTGCAAGGTTCCCTTAGCCTGGGAAAGTATCAACTCTCTCTTTAAAGAAAGAAAGAAAAAAAGCAGGGTTGAAAACCCTCTTGGTGAACAGAAATCACTGTGGCCATTCAGTAAGGCCAGCTTTAACAACACATTTAAAGGAAGAGAAGTTCAACCTCAAGTTAAATGGTTTGACTTATTCTTTGCATCTTTAGAAGAACCACAGAATTTGCATTCCTTTATTTTATTTTACTTTCTTTTGGATTGCACTGATTGTTTTTGTGGGAATGACACTTTACCTGGGAAAGTAACCGAGAGTTAGGTAAAAGAATATTTTCTTCTCTGAATGATAATTATTTTCACAGTGAAAATTTCAGTATTTTATCACTAATGTATGAGCAGTGATATATATCAATTTCAAGGCACGTGGAAAAATTTTTTAGTATGTGCAATTTAATATAGAAAGATTTCTGCCTGTTTGGACAATAGGTTTGGGTAGTATAAATTAGGATAAATAACCTTTTATATGCACAGATATTATTGTATTGCCTGTAAATTGATTTACAAGTACTTAAAGCATGGTCCCCAGTGAGGCCAAGAAAGTTTCCGGTTAAGTTCTTTTAATATGAATCCTACAGTTTCTTTTACTTTAAGATAAAAAAAAAATTGTAGTTTTGAAAAAAACATTTTACTTATCTTGAGGCTTTGCTGGTTGATGGTGGAAAAATATGCTCAGGAAATATTTCAGATATTTGCCAAAAAACTGTAATAAGATTAGCTTATTAATAAGATGGTGATATTGATATTTGCTTTACTATTTAAAGGTGTCACTGATAAATTAATTTGTACTTATGTATTTAGAAATTATAGCTTATTTCCCCTAGTCAAATTCTTTAGCATATTGTACACATTTATGTGTAATCTGTGAAAGTGCAATAATATGTTAGTAAGTTGCATTTTAAATAATGCTCATGTGACGAAACCCCCAATCAGTGGTTTATAGGACTTAAACATTTGAGTATTTATTGAGATTTTGGCTTAAAGGCTTAAGAAGTAAAAGACTTGGTTTGGTGACTTTGTAAAACCATGAGTCTCTTAATGATGGTTAGCTTCTTGAGGTCATTAAAATAAATAAAAACACATAAAGGTCATATTCCCCTTATAATTCTCCTCTTCCATTTCCACTCTCATTTTTACATTTTTGGCTCAAATACATGAGACTGAGCCTGCCATTATTAATTTTCCTATAAAATGATTATACATATGAAAATTTACATTAAATAGTAAAAATAAAAGTTTGTCTTTTCCCCACCACACAAAACTGGTTCTTAAGATGCCAGCAATGCATTTGTGACTATCTTTATTCACAAATGCAACCGGAAACTTTTAAGCCAAACTATAATGTGCAGTGCTATGGGGCTTTTTTTTTTTTTTTCCTCTTACCCAAATACAGTGAAAGTTTCTATATACATGAGAGCCGCCACGTTTAAGTGTTTAGTGACAGAGCTGCTTTTAAAAAATTCTAGTTGGATTGTACTATCAGAAAACTAAAATGTTGCATCTTTGTGATTTTTCAAAACCTAAAATATAAAGGGCTCTGTTAGCTACTAGGAATCGGCTTGGAAACAGTCCTTGGTCTCACAGGTTACCATTGTCTAGGGATGTCTGAGCTGTTGTCAGATTTAGGAATAGCACAGTGTTGTCTTGTCTTTGGTTGCAGTCTCATTTGGCTCCGTTTCTTGCACCACCAGAGTGTTCATTGCCACTTAAGTGTATTGCTACAACGGTGGAACAACAGTGATGCAAGACCGTGTAGATTAACAGTAGAGGAGAAATTGTGCCCTTAGTGTTAACAATGTGCCTTTTGTTCTGAATGCCATGTTGTAGGGCATGCATTTTTTGGCCTCTTTAACTCTTTGAATGCTAGGCAGTAAGGATGGAACCCACCTCTGCAAAGATACATCTGTCTTAACTATCTAGTTACAGGCCTTAATAGAAACCATAAGGCATGAATCATCATTGGGTGTTGAACAAGATAACCATTGGCTAGTTACACAGGGAATCCCTGTGTTTAAGGGGTTAAAGATGTCCTTTGTTGTATCTTAACATCAGACTGATTTTTTAAAGGATATTTTTTTTTTGTTATGCTAACACTAGACAAAAATCAACTGTATTTGTAAAAATTTACCTCAAACCATTTAATTTTATAGTGTGATTAATCCCAGGGCATTTGGTATGAACCAAAGTGCATTCCTTTTATATGTGCCTGGCTCTAGTAAGGATGGCCAGGGATTTTTACAATATGGGTGCAAGGCACTTAAGCCACTTTTAAACTTAATGGGTGGTTTGGAGTCATGTTAAATGACTCCATCAGAATGTTAGAAAACACTTTAGGCATCAGTAGCATTGGGCCATATTGGAATCTTCAAATACAAGTGTGAATTATTTTAAAGAGAGCATTCATTTTTGTAATTTTTTTCATCAGAAATATTTCTGGTAAGCAGAAGACTTTTTAAAAATCTGATTTGGTTGGTAAAGGTTTTAATATTGCCCAACATAATGCTGTGGTAGCATTTAAAAAACAAGTATTTGTGAACTCTTTCTTTCTTAGGGGCTTGTACATCTCTCTGCTATGGACATATATAAAATTAATTGTAATCATACTCAGCTCAACTGCTACAGTTATGTCTAGGCAGTGGCTTGGGTTTTTATCGAGCAACAACTTAGACACGTGACTGTAATATGCTGCAACTGTGTGTACTGAAAATATGTGAAAATGGTTGAATGTGGACTGTGTATATATGTATGTAAAAATTTCTGTGAGATGCTGCTGTCGCCACTTAACATGAAATATGTTCTAGTGGATCTTGATCCTAGTGGCCAGTTCTATGATACTGTATGTATTGTACAGCTGATGACAGGAGTAAGACTGTTTAGTGAATATTTGTTAAATTCTATTGTTGTGGCCAGAGATAATTTCAGAATAAAATTTTAATGTCCTACCTTACTTTTCTCCCCTTTTCTAACTATAATTTAACTCCTGATCTATTGCTGGTATCATTCTTGGTCTGCTAGTCTGGAGAGAGTTTAGAATGTTAAACAGATAGTTCTATATCAGTGACTTGAGAAGTTGAAATAGTCCATTCTACTGGTTTGTTCATTGGCAATAATTTATTAGTTTAATTTAGATGTGCAGACTTCAAGTAAGAGAGGTTAAAGATTTAATAGGCAGTTCTTGGTATTCCCAGAATATTCTATTTTTTTACATTCAGTGTTTTTATGTTACTATTTTACATGGTATTAACCGTATTCTACCATGCTAGAGCCTCAGATCTTTTTTTTTTTTAATGCTCCAGAGTGGCAGTTGAGCTATGGGGACAGAGTCTGTCCATTCTTCCCCACCAGTCCTCATAATTTCCTACACAGAATTTATGGTAAATTATTAGTATGTGCTCTCCCCTGCTCCACCCCATGCTTTTTAATGTGAATGCTTTTGCAGTTTTTGTACTTGGTGTTCTCTGTGGTTCACATTTTGGGGTTTTAGTGTCTCTTGTCATGACGGGGTCAGAACTAAAGCCTGTGAACTACAACTGGCTCATGGTGTGTCAAGTTCAGTTAACACCAAGCTAAGAGTTTACTCACAGATGACAGCAAGCAGATGCTCTGGTAATTTGTCAGACATTGCAGGGATATTATGTAGACAAATATTTCCCTCATGTGGAAAGAACTACCTCACATTTGTATTTACATCCCTCCTGCCACCAGCAGCCGAGGAATTACTTTGTGTGTTTTCCTGCATCAGTAATGGGATTTGCTCAAACAAGGGAATAGTGTGAGAGCTCCTCAGCCAAGGTTTTGTCTTAGTATAAACTATGCCATAAATTTCCTTTTTTTTTTTTTTTGGGGGGGGGGGCCTATTTTTCCTTAAAAAGTTCCTCACAAAGGAAAAAAAAAAAAAAAAAACCAAAAAATAAAAATAAACAAACCCAATTAACCAGACAACCTAAAGCAAAACAATACAAATAGAGATAAAAATTTTAAGAGATAAGCACTACATATAAAGTTGGAAGTTAGTACTAAAGCAGCAATTTTTTTTTTCAAATATATTGTCCTTATCTGATCCAGGGGAGATGACAGTTCCCACTTTTATTTAAATCTTTCAGAGCTTTTTCTGACATTGATACATGTTATATTCTTTTGAATCTCTATAATCACTTCCCTTTTGGAATCAATAGATATACAAATAAATATTTTTGGAAATTTAAAGTTGCCAGCACTAGAGCATTTTCCTAGCTGAGGTTGAGTCCTTTAAAAAGGGGAAGTCAGTTTGATTACCTTTTTTTATTGGAAAGAAAATTAAGAGGAATCTGAAGAAAGGTTATTTGTAGCATTGTTTCAATGTTTTAAGTTTGAATTACATTGAATTTCCTTTGGGCCATTAGGCAAATAAACACTTAGGGATACTTAATGCAGTTCCAAATGGAAAATGTGTCACACACGTAGGAGAACTGCATCTTCCTGCAAAGTCTTTGCTTTGTGTACTTGGTTTGACTCTCTTTGCTATGGTTACATTCTTAATATCTGTGGTGTATTTCATATATGGGGGAAAAACAGAATTGCATTTCCTTGCATCTTAAGAAGGTTTAGTGAGGAAGCTAATGAGTAGATATTTACTTTTCTGAAGAAAGCTGACATTTTAGGAGTATTAACTCTACATCCATGATAAGAAGCAGCAAGGATGTGTTATAACCAGATCACGTGTTTCAGAGAGCACTGCTCCTTAGGAAAGAAAGTGCCACAGATCTCATAGTGTCCTGTGAACCTCAATTCATCCTCACATGTTCCTTTGAGCTGTTATTATCCTCACTTGATATTTGAAGGAACTGAAATCACTAGCTTCAAAGTGACTTTGTAAAAACTACAAAGTTTGGGATCCAGGTTTTAATCAGGTAATTTTGGTCTTGGACATTAAAGGAAAATTCCAAACTACATGTTACACAGAAAAATTTAAAAGGTAAAAGGGAATTTGTGCTAACAATGGGTAGAAATTACCAAAAGAAAACGAAAAGAAAGAGGATTACAGCATCCTTTTTCTCTTCAGGGGCACCCAGTAATGTTAAATGCACTTGCACACACTCTTGGTATATTTGTAGAAGAGTAACTTACATTGCCATTTAAGGGGAGGTAATTATTGTAGATTATTCTTTATTTTCTGTGTTCTTAAAATGTTTTTTAAAAAATATTTGAGTGTATGAAAAATATTTTTTGACACTACTAATTCTCAGGGATTAAAAGTTAAATTTTTACTGACTGTAGCAGTAGGTGAATCTTACATTCAAACTTACTCAGGTTTCCTATCATATGCCTCTATATTTAAGAAAATATAGAATGCCTTCCAGGAAAATATATAAAAATAAAAATTTCAGATACAATTTTAAAATACCAAATTGTAAATAAACCAGTTTTACAAACTAAAATATTGTGTCTTTCCTTGCGTTATATTCCAAATTATTTCACCTCCTGAGTTTGAGGACTTTTAAATATCAAGGTTGTTTCTTCATTTGTAAAAATGAAGTGTGCTATTTGTTAACCCAAACCCAGGAATAGGCCCAGATCACTTAAGTAAAAGATTATTGAATTGTTTTTAGTTGTTTGGGGGGGGAAATGTAATGAGTTATAAGCAATTTATGTAGATGGACAGTAAATTTAAGTGTATGAGTAAATTTGGGCTAATTTGTCATCCTGTACTTGAGAAGAATATATTCCTTAATCTCCCCTTTCTCTAGAATTCAATTCATTGGAATTTTGGCTTTGGTAGGCTTAAATTAAAAAAATAAAGAAATCCAAGTAATAGAATTGTATTAACATCTACTGCAGATGTCATTCATTTGCCAAATATTTATTTAATTCCTAGTATATGCCAAGTTCTGTTATAGGCACTAGGAATACATAATGGTGAACAAAACAGACATGGTTCTTGTCTTTAGGGAGTTTTTAGATTGGTTGGGAAGGCAGGTATTACATAAATCATTATATGAACAAACACATAATTGCAGATATAATAAGTGCTGTGAAGGAAAAGCACATGGTGTTGAGTGTACACAGTGACAGAGGTGGTTGTGTGGTTCCCGGGTGGCTTCCCTAGGATATAGCTTTTGAGTGGAAGAAGGAATGAGCAGGCAGCTAGGGGAAGCTAGGTGAGCAACTGAAGTATGAAATGCAGCTGATAGGTAGTTGAGCACTGGCCATGAGAAGCTCTATTAAAGATTTTGGTCTTTGTCCTATGTGCAAGGCAGCAAACAAGAGATTTTAAGGAGAAAAAAAAAAAATTGCTGTTAGTCACTTGGCTCTCCCTGGCTGTTTTTAGTAGAACATACCAAGAAGAGTGAATAGGAGAATAAAGGACATTTAGAAGTGTTGGCAAGAAATGGCATATTGGACCATAGAGGTAAAATAGATATTTAAAGAAGTTAGACTTGAGGGCATTTTAGAAGGCAGAAATATAAGGTAATAACAGAGGTGTTTCTTTGTGTATGAAAAGTAGCTTTAGCTATTTCTCATTTGCTACATTGCATGGGAGGGAATTGCAGTATCCAATTCATTTGAGGAAGGAAAGAGTTGAAAATCAATGTCTTTGGCAACAGTGTTAAGTACTGGTAAACTATCTCCTGATAAATGGTTGAAGCCTTTGAATAAAATCTTATTCATTCAAGAATATATATTTTAAGAAAATCTTAAAAAGTGATTGGGAAAAAGTGAGTGAGGGAGGGAGGATCATAGAGGTCAGATAAGCCAAATTCTCCAAAGTAGCAGTCCCCTTTGCTAGGTTGCCTCCCTCTCCCTCTTTCCTCCTCCCTTCCTTCCATAGAAATTAAACGTCTCAGGCTTGATATACTGTAGTCTAGTTCCCTCTCATCTGCAGGGAACATATTTCAAAAATAGTGGATATTTGAAATCATGGATAGTACTGATATGTATATATACATGCGCGTGCACACACACACACACAAAAACATGTCATGTTTTTACATACCTATGATAAAAGTTTATAAATTAGATAGATACATTAAGAAATTAACAATGACAAAAATAAAAAGAATGATATAGTGTAATAAAATTGCCAGGATCACTGGTCTTATACTTTGTGGCCATTATTAAGTAAAATAAGTGTCACTTGAACACAGGCACTGTGATTCTGTGACAGTGAAAGATGAAATGGTTCCTAAGTGTCTAGTGGATGGGTAGTATATACAAAATGTACACACTGCACAAAGGGTTCTTTAATGTATCAGGTGGGACAGAGTGAGATTTCTTCACTCAGAATAGTGTGCAATTTAAAATTTATGAATTTTTCGTTTCTGAAAATTTCCACTTAATATAATTTTCAGAAAATGGTTGACCACAGGTAACTGAAGCCATTGGAAAGAAAAAACATCAGGTAAGGGGATACTACTATATTTGGATTTGATGGGTTTGGTATACCAAAACAAAAACCAATAAGAAAAAGAAAAGAGGGGGAAAAAAAGAGAAGTAGGTTCCTCCCCTTGAGGACTTTATATTTAATTGGGAAGACAAGATTAGACAAAATTAGAAAATATTAAACAATTGGAGAACAACAACAAAAAAAGATAGCATTCAGAGTAGTAAAAGTCATTTGTGTTGCTACTGGGTGAGAATAGCTTCAAGGAGATGTATTTGCAGCCAGGTCTCAATTCAAATGCTTAAAGAGAAAAAGGATATTCAGGGAGAATTGTTTCATTTGAGGTGTATGTGTATCATTCATTCATCTGGTCACCAATATTTGACTTATGTGTACAATTTTGGCATAACGTAGGGCAGAGTGAAGGGGTGGAAAGTACTTCACTTGGAAAGGTAGGGCTTGTCATTGTGTGGTTTCCTCAAAAGTGCTTGATTGTCCCAGCCATTTCACACATGCCGTCGTCTCCTCTAGAAAGACGTTCTCCGTGGCTGCCTCATCCTATGGAACTCAGCTCAGACCAGACGTGG